CCAACTAAGATCATGGCCACTGGTCCCATCACCTCCTGGAAAATAGAAGGGAAAGATATGGAGGCAGTGACAGCAGCCACAAAATTAAAAGATGCCTGCTTCTTGGGAGGAAAGCAATGACAAACCTCAACAGCATCTTAAAAAGCAGAGACCTCACCTTGCCAACAGGAGTCAGACTAGTCAAAGCTATGTTTTTTCCAGTAGTGATGTATGGAAGTGAGAGCTGGACCATAAAGAAAGCTGACCACCGAATAATTGATACTTTTGAACTGTGGTGCTGGAGGAGGTTCTTGAGAGTCCCCTGGACTGCAAAGAGAACATACCTATCCATTTTGAAGAAAATCAACCCTGAGTGCTCACTGGAAGAACAGATCCTGAAGCTGAGGCTCCAGTACTTTGGCAATCTCATGAGAAGAGAAGACTCCCTGGAAAAAACCCTCCTGATGTTAGGAAAGTGTGAAGGAAAGAGGAGAAGGGGACAACAGATAATGAGATGGTTGGACAGTGTCATTGAAGCTACCAACATGAATTTGACCCAACTCCGGGAGGCAGTGGAAGACAGGAGGGCCTGGCGTGCTGTGGTCCATGGGGTCATGAAGAGTCGGACACGACTAATTGACATTATAAATGAAATCTGATGACTTCGTTAATTTTATTAGGTGTTCTTTTCTCAAACTGTGGTACTCGAAAAAGTTTATATTACAGTGCAGTCCTATACATATCTGGTCAAAAGTAATCCCCACTGAGTTCAATAAAATTTACTTCCTAGTGAATGTCTATAGGCTTCAAGTCTAAATGTATCAGTGTATAGAAAGACCAAAGTGTATATGCTGTGGTGGGTGGGGGAAGTACATTACAGAGCATCATTGAATATTATTGAGCTAAGAAGAGAGCAAGGCTCTCAGTTGGGGAGGGAGGAAAGTGCTTTAAATTGATTGAAACAGGAAAGCATTTGGACCATAGAGACAGTGAAACTGAGAGATTAACAATCAATTGTAAAAGCAGATATCAATCAAAGCAATTTCTGGGTGTCTTCTTGTATTGACATAAAGTGCAGACAGAGAGCCCAGTGCCTCCCATGATGCACTGCTAAAATAAAACTTTTCTTAATTAAACTCTGACATGGCAAGCTTGAATTAAAGTCTTTGCCTGTATTTAGGAGAAGAGGAACCAAATAGGTTGGTGTGCAAGCATTATGTGTATTGTTTATTTTTTAAAAACAGAAAAGGAATGTATTATGAACATCTTAAATCGTCTGCACATTTGTGTCACAACAGTTTTTTCTTAATTTATAATCTCCCCAAATTTAGAGAAATTCCAGGGAATTTTATTGTGCAGTTATGTAGCAGTTATGCTGATCTGGTAGTACTGTAGAGTGGATTTCAGTGCACACAGAAGTGTTGTAAGAGCATGTGCTTCAGTGTTCTGGGAAACATTGCAAAGTCATTATGTACTTAATTGTTTCTGTGCATCATAACAAAGACTGGCAGCCTCTATTTATGTCATTCTTGTAGAGTGCATTAGATCTACTGAATGTTGACTTGCATCCTTAAATCTATATGTAATATATCAAAATATAGATGGAGTGAGCATGGAAAAAATTGTTGCAAATTTCCTGGTTCTTTTTGATATAGGTTACCACAACACCTTGAGAAAGGCTGAAGACCTGTTGCTGAGCATAATAATGTTACACTAGAGTAGGCCTCTTGAATCAGTGGATATTTGGTGAGTCAACTCCTGCATACATTTCATTGATGAAAATGGGCCTACTCTAGTTGTGGCTTATTATGCTAGTTGCCACTGAGCACAGCAATTTAAATGTGTAGAACCTACCGAGGAATTGTTTCATCAAAACTCCACTGATTAAATAGGCATGCTGTAGTGTGGCTTACTACACTCCACAACAAGATTTCAGTCAAAGGATGTCTGAGTAGCCACACAAAACAAGAAAAAACACAGTCCTATAATCAAGCAGACAGGTTTGGGTGGGGCTGAGCCCGGCCATGTTGGCACCAGTTGGCACTTGGCAGCGAAGCAGCCTTTTTGGCCGCATTGGGGCACTGAGGCAAAAGGCAGCAATATAAACTCTTGTCTTCAGCAATATCACGTTTGCCTGTGAAGTTGAGTTTGCCCTCAGGAGGCAACGGAGGTAGTTTGCATCAAAACCAGCAGTAGATGAATAGGCTTCACCTCAGTGGGAAGGTAATGGGCCGGCATTGTCCAGTCATGCCGGCGACATGACCACAGAAAAGTGTCTATGGAGAAACTGTCAATTGGCAGCAAAGTAGATTTTTTGACCCATCAGGCACAGAGGCAGTTGGCAGCAGCAACATAGGCTTTTTGCCCCATTGGGCACTGTATTTCTAGGCTGGATAACAGATGTGGAAGGAGTTGGAAAGGATCAACAGCAGACAGAAAAGAACTTGG